TTGCTGATGATTCTGAAATCGGTGTCTAATCAATATCATAAGCCATGGTCTTTCACCTGATCTGAAGACTTGGCACTTACACATGAATATCTTACCAACATCCATCATTCTCTCATGTTATCTTGTTCCTCTGCCCAAAGTCTAAAGTATTATTAATGACACTACGAGTCATTCTTGTATTCAGCATTTCCTGGGTATTTCCTGTGTGCACTGGGATATTGCAGGTATTGAGAAAGCCGTGTTCCTGTGGAAAAGCCAAGTTTCCATTAGACTAAGGAGGGAGGAAGCATTCAAAGAAGTGATGGAGAATGCAGGGGGGTTTGTAGATGTCAGGGTTCCAGAGCACGCAGTGCAAGTATTGAGGAGTAGGGAGCTTGAATCAGATTAGGGGATGTTCACAGTCTGATGGGTTTGAGTCCCAAGTTGAGGGATGGGCTGGGAGAGAATGGGACTCGTGTTAGCTGAGGTAAATGAAAACTTAAGGCATAGGAATACTAATTCTGAACACTTCCCAGAAGGAGATAGAAAATCAGTTCTAATGCTAGCCTGCTTTATGACTCTAAGCATTAATAAGATGAGATGGGGAGTGTTTGGGGTGTGCCTGGAGTAGTGGCCTTGCTAGGATCCTGCTGGATTCTCTATCCACTTCCGTCCTGCTGCGGATGCAGGCACAGCCCGGGGGAGGATGGTCTCCCCAGGTGCACACACAGTTCTGCAGCTCTCTCCCAAATCCTGCTGTGGGCAGTGAAAAGAATTTTCTAGCAGTGGCTGGCAAATTGACTAAAAGCAATTCCAAAAAAAAAAGGAGTTTGAAATATATTCTAAGTAATGGCAGCATCGCTGGGGGAAGTACACTTTCATGCACCTTTACTACTTTTGAAGAGTGCTAGGGTAAGAAAATACAGAAAATTAATTTTCTCAGCAGTGGATATGAGAATTTCTCTTAGAGTGGTAATGCTCAATCTTGGCAACATGTAGGAATCATCTGGGAGTTTTTTAAAACACAGATGCCTGGTTCCTACCCCCTGGAGATTCTGATTTAATTGGTCTGATTATGATAATTGGTATGGAGTTTTCAAAAGTTCCTCAAGTTAGAAAAGTTATAATTTGCAGCCAAAGTTGAAAGCCACTGATGTAGTGTAAATGCTGACAGCACCAGGAGTTCCCGAAGTTAAAAAAGTTATAATTTGCAGCCCAGATTTATAGCCATTGAGGTAGTATAAATGCTGACAGCTCCAGAACTCAGGCTGATATGAAGACTAAAAGAAATAATAGATGTGTTTTTTTAAAAAAGTGCAGTGCCTACCCCATGTACCAGCTCAATGTAGCTATTATGTATTTAAAAAATAGCAATGGCAGTCAGAATGCTTAGAAAATGCAAAAGCAGATTATCTTAACTGGAGTCCAACAAGGAGCTCAGAGGCAATTCTTCCATTTTCTGCAGCCTATTGCATCTTTACTAAAGCCGTTGACGTTTTTAGAGTCTTTCAAGATGAATTTGGAAAGGAGTCAAAAATGGTGAAAAGTTTGGAATATAAGCCATACAAAGAAATACAAGAAGAATTATTCTCTTGCCTGGAGAATAGAACTTTAGTTATAAATTAGCACACCTCACCACAAAGGTTTTTCAGTCTGTTTTGCCCAGGGCCACAGTAGCGGATGTGGGGGGGTAATAGAATGGTAGGAGGCGAAGCTCCAAGCTTCATCATAACAGGTCCTGTCTCTCTTTTTAAGAATTAGACTTTTGCATATGATTTTATATGAAAAATGAAAGGATGTAACTGGAAGGAAAGGAGGGAGAGAAAGAAAGCACTCACTGTACACAACATGAAATGTTAAGGTGTGTTTTTAGAGATTGAAGGCTGATACATTGTGAAATGAATTAAAGGAAGTTGTTGAACTTCATTTAGTGAAAAGATCTTAATTTTGAGGGCCACTTTAGAACAGAGAGCTTAACCTGGAACTTCTTCAGTCCCATTTTATTATTCAATCAGTGACTAGAAAACATCAGTTACATTTGTTATATAATTTTTTTTCTATGACATTTCAGAAATTTTCGAGTTCCTGGGGAAATTTACATATGGTAAGATTGGTGTAAAATCAACAGTATTGTGGGGCTTAAAAGGTCAACAGAAATGATAAAAGCTGTTGATGAAGAACTTCCTTATTTAAAATAAGAAAGTATTAAAAAAAAAGACGTAAATTAAACAGAGGCCCAACAGCAACAGCAGTTTGGAAGTAAAGTCAGGAATTATGCTATGGACCAGCCTCTGGTTGATCTTTCCTAGAATCAATTATGTGCACACTTTGAGAAGAAAAGATACTGTAGGTCGCTAAATTTTCTTGGTAGGTGGGAGAGTGGCAGTAACAGCAATAGGATTTATGTAAAAGATTCTCTCCACTTAGGACAAGAGCAGTTTACATTTAAAATAATGACAGGAAAGGATTTAGCAGTAAGAAAGTTTTAAACATTTCACTGTGCACTTAGGAGGCATAAAATGAATGCCCTTTTTAGTTTGCTTTTCTAAAACATAACTATTCTTTGACAAGTGGTTGATTTATTAGGCTTCTTGTTTATAGGGAGAGAAGCCCAACTTAAACTACTTTAAGAAAAAAAAGGGGCTATTCTACTTCTGCAACTGAAAAGCTCAAAGTTAGGGCTTGTTTTAGGCATAAATGGATTAAAGTCTTCAACAATGACTGTCTTCCCTCTCTGTGGCCAGATTCACTTCCCTCTGTGTTGTGGTTTCATTCTTGAGCTGTCTTTTGCCCAAGTGTGAAAGCTGACCCCAGGAGATATAAGCTTACATTTTCTTTAAAACTCCCTGTCTCAACCCAAGGGTCCATTGATGGACAAATGGATATACAAAATATGCTGTGTATACACATAGTGGAATATTACTCAGCCATGAAAGGGAAGGAAGTTCTGATACTACAATGTGGATGAACTTTGAAAGCATTATGCTCAGTGAAATAAGCCGGACACAAAAGGACAAATATTGTGTGATTCTACTTATATGAACTATTTAGAATAGGCAAAGTCATAGAAACAGAAAAGATACTAGTGTTACCAGGGGGTATGGGGAGGGCAGAGTGGGGAGTTATTGCTCGACGCTTAAATTTCTGTTTGGGGTTATGAAAAAGTTTTTGAAACAGATAATGGTGATCACTGCATGAGACTATGAATGTGATTAATGCCACTGAATCATACACTTAAAAATGGCTAAAATCATAAGTTTTATGTTATATATATTTTACCACAATAAAAATTCTGGAATAAAAAATAAAACTTTTTATCTCAGGAAATAAGAGAGAGAACTTCCTGGTAGCTGCAGAAAATTCTGGAAGGATTCTAGCCAGTTTGGCCTTGCTGTCTTACCCATAGAACTAATCATGCACCTCAGGGAGCGCCATCGTCACTCCTATTCAAAGACCTGGAGGTGCCTCCTTCAGCAGGGAGAAAAGCCTATTGAGGAGCCACTGTGAGGCAGTTTCTTATCCCTGTCTTGTGGGAGACTGACTTTCTCTCATCTGTCTCCCATTTGGTTTCAGTTGAGTGTAAGACTTCCCACCTTGCTCCCACTTAAGGTTCAGCTGCAGTCTTTTGTATAAATCTGTACAATTGCTCGACTGTGGTTTAAGGGTTGCTCCTCCCCAGCAGAGCAACCCATTGCCCATGCTGTCAGTCATCTTGCCCTTCAAGGCTCAGTGTCTTCCTGTGTTGATCTGGCCTTTGGCGTCTGTGCAAGTAATAAACTTCCTGAATCCATTGATGCTCATTGTCTCCTTACTAACTGAATCCATGGAGGTGTGACAAGCTAACAACTGCACTAGTGACACTTGGGACCCTGTTAGCCACCAAGCGCCTTGGAAAGGCTTGTCTGCTTAGCACGAAGTTCTTCCATAGGAAGGTACTCAGGGTAGATAGATATGTTTAGCAGAGTCGGCCATTTATGTCTATTGGAGTGAGTCAACTTACAGGGACTAAAGCTCCCTGATCATATGTGTCCCCAAAAGGCCAAACCCTGCACTAGGTTTCTCAGGATCAAGCTGAACCAGCATTCTGAATAGCTCTTCCTTGTCTGCCTTTCCTGCCTTGGAATGGAGTGCTGGGATCTCCCTCTGCTGTTCCCATCTCATTTATTAATATATACTCCCCAGTGGACCAACTTCCAGGCTGCCAATTCCTTCTAGTAGTGGACATATGCCTTCTCCCTCTGCTAAGGAATTACTGAAAGGTCAGTGAATGGGGTTCTAGAAGTTGGTATTGGCAGTTCCTTCTCAGTCTGGCCTTTAAGAAAAATTCAGCAGAAGCTATACTATTTGTTTCCTTTTATGTCTTAAAACTAAAGATTCTTAAGGATGAATTCTGAAGTAATCAAGTAAGTGCTTATTGTTTTTATCTGTCTTTGTAAAACTAAATTAGTCCTACCCGTAGCTTGGCTTTGGAGAAACACATTTACTGTCATATCAGAAAGATTGTAGGCTATTCAGGGTAATAGAAATCTTAAAAGACAGCATGTTCTTACATCCCGGGAGAAATAGAAGGATAGAGAAACAGTTTGATGCTGTGAAAACGAACATGGATTGTGGAATCAATCAATATTGGGTTCTAATCCTGTTCCATCCTTTATCAGTGTTTGTATTAACTAGATTATAAATTCCATGGCCTGGCATTAAAGCTTCCCCTATTAGAAGACCAAGGAGAGAAGTTATAATGTTTGATGCTGCCCCCCAGTGGTTGATGTGGCCACAGAAAATATGACAAAGATAAAGGTTTTAGATCAAGCTTTATTTTAACAAAAATATTAATGCATATCTAGTTCTTCTTATTTCCCATTTGATTTCTCCATGAAGCATATAGCATTTACATATTTTCATTTATGCAATCTCATTTTAAAGCCCCCTTGAATACATGTATGAAAGTACGTTAACGTTTTTAAACAATTTCCTGTGGGATTGAGATGCATTTAAAATCTGCAAACGTCAGGCAGTGTTGCCTAGTGCGTCCTGGAGACCTTCGAAGTCGCCGTCGCTCTCACCATGACTGGGTCCAGACTGCGCCAAGCCTCTGGGGGACGTGGGTCCTCGGAACCTTTTTAGTGCCGGACTCCGGGCCACAGGCGCGGCAGCACGATAACAGAACCTCTGGATGGACTCTTCCTGGGAAGCTTTGCTAATTTGCAGCAGCTGGACCATGTTCCTCATTAACATCTGTCTGTCAGCTTAGTCATCACATCATTTCACCATGGTAGCAGGGACTCAGCTCGGAATTCTATATAGAAAAACACCTAGATCCCAGACTTTCAATGGCTTCAAGACAACTAGAAGTGCCTGCTCTTGAGGCTAGTGGGCCTCTAGGCAAGATGTCCCTGGCCTTCGGGATATACCCCTGGCACTCAGCTTTGATAATACTCTCAAGGACCCTGCGCCCATTACTCCTCCTCCATCAGACATGGGCAGCGTCCCTTGGAAACCAGTAATTCCAGAGCGCAAGTATCAGCTCCTCGCCAAGGTGGAGGAAGGAGAGGCCAGTCTACCCTCCCTGCCATGACCCTGTCATCGGCCATTGACAGTGTGGACAAGGTCCCAGTGGTGAAGGCTAAAACTACTCATGTCATCATGAGTTCTCTGATCACAAAACAGACCCAGGAAAGCATTCAGCATTTTGGGCAGCAGGCAGGACTGAGAGATGCTGGCTACCCACTCCACGAGGGCCTCACCACTGAAGAGACCAGGTACCTTAGAGTGGCATAAGCACTCCACAAACTAAAGCTACAGAGTGGAGAGATAACAAAAGAAGAGAGGCAGCCTGCATCAGCCCAGTCCACCCCAAGCACCACTCCTCACTCTTCACCTAAGCAGAGACCCAGGGGCTGGTTCACTTCTGGTTCTTCCACAGCCTTACCTGGCCCAAATCCTAGCAACATGGACTCTGGAAGTGAGGATAAGGACAGCAACTTGTCCGATAAGTGGAGCCTCTTTGGACTGAGATCACTTCAGAAGTATGATTCTGGAAGTTTTGCCACCCAGGCCGACTGAGGAGCCCAGAAACCCTCTCCAATGGAACTGATCCGTGCCCAGGCCAACCAAATGGCTGAAGATCCAGCAGCCTTGAAGCCGCCCAAGATGGACATCCCAATGATGAAAGGGAAGAAACAGCCACCACGGGCCCATAATCTCCAACCCTGTGACTTGAATGTGCTCACACTCACTGGCTTCTAGAGCCCTTTCCAGGGATTCTGGTAAAGAAGGTTTCTTGCAACCCACTCTCCTTTTACCTTGGCTTTCATATAGGAAAGGTATATTTAAAAACTTAATCAGATGGTCGCGGTGGCTCACGCCTGTAATCCCAGCACTTTGGGAGGCCAAGTTAGGTGGATCACCTGAGGTCAGGAGTTTGAGACCAGCCTGGCCAACATGGTGAAACCCCCATCTCTACTAAAAATACAAAAATTAGCCAGGCATGATGGTAGTTGCCTGTAGTCCCAGCTACTTGGGAGGTTGAGGCAAGAGAATTGCCTGAACCAAAGAGGCAGAGTGAGCCGAGAGCATGCCATTACACTCCAGCCTGGGTGACAGAGCAAGACTGCGTCTCTAAATAAATAAATAAATAAAGTAAAAAACCTGTTAAATTGAGGCTAGAGCTGGAGACATAATTGGTTTTTGAGAAACATTAGTACAAAGCTTGCCCTTGTTCTGTGGAGGAAGCCATTTTGTACTGCTTTAAAGTTAGACTAAATATTCTCAGCAGTGGTTTATAGGGACCTCATTACCTATGTTTTCATCATTTACCCTAAGTAAGAACTTCGATCACTGCTTACTGGGTAAATAAAGTTTGTGCTGTTCCAAAACCCAGGCTTCTTGATTCCTTTACCACTATCCATGTGAGCACTGACAAATCATGGCGTAGAGGTGCTCACTGACTCACTGAGACGACTCTGGCCCTGTTGATGGCTGATGCTGTGCTCCAGTCTTATCAGTTAGGGGACCCAAGATTTGTTTGGGACCTGGGTACAGGTTAAAGCCAGACTTGGCAGGGACCCCTGCTTCTAGGCTGAACCTTGAGTCTCCCCGCTTTTTGGTAGAACTAATGGATCACTGTCCTGCAGCCAGTTCTTCATGTGGGGCCTCTTAGGCCAGTGCCAGGGGAGGCATCTCCTCGTTCTGTGCCACAGAACAAACGCTAGTCTAGTAGGGCCTTTCTTGCACTTTAAAGTGAGATTAATTTAGCTCCAATTTGGTTAAAAGCTTCCTAAGCGAGAAAATTCGATCTACTGTTTTGGTATAGGTAAACGGACCTAAACGTTTTCAAAGTAAGGGAGATGGTAGGTACAGTTAGATTATAGTCTTGAGGTTTATATGAAGCCAGTAGTGTTACCTTATTTTGATTTCCTTGTTCAGGTCAGGGCCTGGAATGTCTGTGGCGGGAGGTGAATGAATTCAAAATTTTCTGTATGAAAGCATTTTTCACCAAAGTGAGCCTCATGCCTTTATGCAACACATAACCTTACTGAGGGAGGGAAGTAGGGAAACCACATTTTTATTTCTCCTCACTGTGTACAAGTTCAGTTATTGTCTTGAACACGGTCTCAAATACCCATTTTTTGTTTTGGATAATACCTTGTCTGTATAAGAAGCTGGCCTTTCCACAGAGGGGCCCTGGAGTCTGAAATTATGAGAATTAATTTATTTGTGTCTTCTATTATGATCTCTTGTTTTGACAATAAAAATCCTTACTACTTTCTCCAAAAAAATAAATAAATAAATAAATAAATAAAGAATCTGCAAACATTGTAGTTTGGCAAACATAGTGTTTGACTGTGGTATAATTATTTAATATCTCTTTGCTTTGGTGTCCTAATATGTAAACTTAGGAAACCTTATTCCCACTTTACAGTGTTGCTATGACAATGAATGACCCCAGGTGTCAAAAGGACCGGGCACCTAGAGGGAATGCAAAGAAAGGAAGCTATAATTGTTGTTCACATATTCGAAATTCTGCTACTTAAAGTGTTAGCTACATTTGTGTGTGGAATAGTTTTATATGTAATAGAATAGTTTTATATATATAGAATAAGGATGTTAGAGAATTTTTAAAACACTTGTTGCACTGTTAGTCATATATCAAATATATTTGGTATGCACTTTTACAAAGCACCTGTAAAAACCAGGTCCCTTATAGCTTATTTATGATAAGATACTATAAAGTAGTTATTTCACATAAGTACAATTTACATGAAAAGAATTATGCTCAAACTATGAGGATTCAAACTAATCATTTGTACTCAGAAAACAGAAAAGAGTGCTGCTTTCGTTTATTTCAGAAGCGATAATACATCTCTAGAGGAGGAAAAAGTGGTGGTAAAAAAACATTATTGGGACTGAAGCTGATTTTGTAGTTCTTTTCAAGGCTCATGTGTCTTTTCAGGCCACCCAGACCATAGGCACAACTTTGCAACACCAATGTTCCTAGGAAGCGGTCCCACTGTCCCCTGCCTCTCTCTTGTAATTTAAGACAACTTTTCTCAACCCCTGTGTGCCTAACTCCCCATCCCACCCCAACGGAACCTCCCTTGATTATGAACATGTGCAGCCAGTTATATTGCTGACATTCTTGCTGTTTAGTTCATAGCCTGAAAATGTACATGACGGCACCTCAATTTGGACACCAGGGTGAGAGTGACTGTGAAACAATGATGTCAGGTGTATGAATATTGTCTTTTGACTTTCCTGTGATGCTGGCGCAGGCTTGTTGAGATGTGGGCAATCCTGGGCACTACCGCCTTGCTGTGCACTGCAAAGAAGTGGAAATAATAATACAAAAATGGATACCAAAGTCTTAACATAGAGCTTACTATGTGCCAAATATAATATTATAATATTATCCTCATTTTACAGATGAGAAAATGGAGGCTCAGCGAGGTGTTCATGTATTAATTAGCTATTCTGCATAACAAACCACAAAAAATTTAGATAATTAAATGATCATTCATGATTCTATAGGTCAATTTCAGGTTGGCTCATCTGGATAGTTCTTCTGCTAGTCTCATCTTATTCACTCTCAGTGCTACATCTATCTGGTGACTTCATGGGGGCTCATTGTTTTACCTCAGCAAGGGATAGGCCATCTCTGTCCCACATGGTTTCCTCTTTCAGTAGGATACCCAGAATTCTTTATGTGGAGGCACCATATTTCAAAAGAGAGAGAGAGTAGAAGCATCAGAATCTCTCAAGATCTAGGATTGAAAGTCACACAAACGTTACTTCTGTGTTAAAGCAAGTCACATCACTGACCCAGATTCAAAGAATAGGGAAACAGATTCCTCCACTTGATGTGGCAAGTGGCAAAATCATGTTTTAGAGAGCTTGCAGAAAGTCATGGAATTTGTAGCCTTTAAAAAAAAATCTTACTTTTTCATAGTAAGTAAAATGCCTAAGCTCATATAGACTGGACATACTAGTGCCAGGCTTTGACCCAACCAGTCTGCTTCAGTGTTGGGTTTTTAACCACAGCGGTTATGTTGACAGGGGAAGAATTTCACTTTCTGCAGTGAATTATGCTTCACCACCTGCTTCGGCCCTGTTTGTGCAGTGGTGCCTTTAGCAGTTCCAGCCCTCGAACTCAGGTACTAGTTTGAGACCTGGAAGACAAATTTCTGTAGTGAAAATTTGCTATGATCTTTTCCTCATAGACTTTTGTGAAAATGAACTCTTGTACGCTGACTATAAGTCACCCTGCCCACAAGTCTACTAATGCAGAGGCCCCAATACACATACATATTCATAGAAGTCTGTATTGGCTCCAGTGTAAAGGTAACCATGAAGCTATTCTACAGATGAAACTACACGCTTGGTTAAAAAAAAAAATTACTGTAATATCTACAAACAATAAAGGATTTATTCTTGTGAGGAGGAATTTTACTGGATCAAAATCTAAGTGTCAATATGAACCTGATCCAAACAGTGATTTATGGGAAAGAGACACTGGTTACGTGCGTGTGTGTGTGTGTGTGTGTATATATATATATATATATTTTTTTTTTGAGGTGGAGTCTCGCTCTGTCACCTAGACTGGAGTGCAGTGGTATTATCTCGGCTCACCGCAACCTCTGCCTCCTAGGTTCAAGTGATACTCCTGCCTCAGCCTCCCGAATAGCTGTGATTACAGGTGTGCACCACCACGCCCAGCTAATTTTTTGTATCTTTAGTAGAGACAGGGTTTCACCATGTTGGCCAGGCTGGTCTTGAACTCCTGACCTCGTGATCTGCCCACCTTGGCCTCCCAAAGTGCTGAGATTACAGGCATGAGCCACTGCACCTGGCCTAGTTTTGGCTCCTTCTTTAAGACATCTCTGGAGGATGCAAAATGTGCTAGGCTTGCATAGACTCCAGAGAGGTTAAATTGTTTCTTTTACATTTATCCATGAAAGCCTGAAGTTTTTGAAAGAACAGCTCTCCATGATATATTTACAAGTTTATTTCAATAACAATAATGGGTATTTCATGTCAGATAAGTATGGTTAGTTATCTAAATTGGATTTGCTTTTATCCTAGGCAGACTTCTTTTTAAATGGTCTTTCTTGTAGTGTCTAGATTCTTTTATTTTTCATGTGGAAGTCCAGTTGTTTCAGTGCCATTTGTTGAAAAGGCAATCTTTTCTCCATTTTATTGTCTTTGCTCCTTTGTCAAAGATTAGTTTACTATATTTATGTGATTGCTGCGCTCTCTATTCTATTCTATCGATCTATTCATCTGTTCTTTCCCCAATACCACACTATCTTGATTAACGTAGCTTTAAAATAAGTCTGAAGTTGGGTAGTGTCAGCCTTCCAACTTTATTTTTCTTTTTCAATTTTGTGTTAGTTATTCTTGGTCTTTTGCCTCTCCCTATAAACTTTAGAATCAGTTTGTTGATGTCCACAAAATAACTTGCTGGGATTTTGCCTTTCTTACATAAACATGCCAAAGAAAGACTTTATAGTGAGAGCAGCTGCATACATGTGTCTCCTTTCCCCGCTTTTCCCCCTCTTCCTGGATAAGGGTACATAGAAAAATGCTTTTTACAAAGAAAGAGAACTGAAAGAAAACCACCCATGTTGTTCAATTATGGTCAGAAAAATTTTGATTTACAGATTTTACTGACAGATAGGGAGCTGACTCTGTGAGAATGGGATTTCCTTATCTTTCATTTAAAAACCAGAAGAAAATCTCTAACAAAAATC